GTTTAAAACATCTAAATGTCCAAATATCCAAAATGTCTACAAATATCTAAAATGTGTATATATATATATATATATAATGCCTATATGTCCCAACCTTCTAACACTAATTATCAACTGGAGTACACATTCTGTACTCCTGTCTTATATATACTCATTTACAATATACTGAGATAATTTTCTGTCCTTGGTTTCACTGTTCTGTTTTTATTCTTTGTATATATAGTTTGTCTTTGATTGTAAGGCACCCAGAGTTTGGTTTTAAGATGGGAATGTTTAAATAAAATAAATAAATATCCCAATTACTTATATTTTTTATTTCCTATTTTGACACATGTACTGTTTATCTTCGTTAACTGTCTATTTATTATTTTGATGCTATTTGAAATTTCCTTCCTGAGTTCTATTCCATCCGGGAACCGGGAATGTAAAATGCGAAGAAAATAAAATATTTGTAAGATGTTAACAGATTTTGTTCATATGTAACTGCAAACTGCCCGTAATCACATTTGGTGCTTCTCTCGGTTTGGCCTCTCGTTTCATATCAATATTTTTCCAGGTCCTCCGACGGCGAACGCTCAGCAGCCGCAATTCCGAACTCTGGCCCTTAGATGGCGACCGAGACAAGGCCTTTTCCCACTCTTCTCACCCTGTTTCCAGATCTTTCTCGAACTCCGGGAGGCCACCCGAGGACGCGCGGAAACTGCCGAAGCCCCAGCCGGAGTTTCGCGGTGTCCTCGTATGGCGACCAGCCGCGCCTGCGCAGAGTAGAGGAAGTGCCGGTTGGCGGCTGTTGCTCCGCAGTGAGAGAACGAGCGAGCGACGCGCCGAGGCGCCGTCTCCCCGCCGCGAGCACTGTCCCGCGAGGGCCCGCCACAGCAACGGGGGGGGGGGGGTGGGGGTTGGTGCCCCGGCGGGGGGGGACGGGGGGGGCGCCGCGCGGGGCCGCGCCCCCCCCGCGGGGAGCCCGGCCCGGGGGGGGCCCGCCACAGCAACGGGGGGGGGGGGGTGGGGGTTGGTGCCCCGGCGGGGGGGGACGGGGGGGGCGCCGCGCGGGGCCGCGCCCCCCCCGCGGGGAGCCCGGCCCGGGGGGGGCCCGCCACAGCAACGCGGAGGGAGGGGTGAGGAAGAAAGCGGACCGCACCCGCCGCAGCCATGTCTGTGGTGGGCATCGACCTGGGCTTCCAGAACTGCTACATCGCGGTGGCGCGGAGCGGCGGCATCGAGACCATCGCCAACGAGTACAGCGACCGCTGCACCCCGTGAGTCCTAGCCTTCTAACCGTCATTTGGGCAACAGCCTCCGCTCCGAAGAAATGAACAGCTGCTCGCGCTCTTTCCGTTGGCTTCCTCCCCGGCAGCCTCCGCCTCATGAAACCTTTTAAGGAGCCTTCCCCCGACCGGTGTTGGGCTACGTTTCAGCTCCACCTACCTGGAAATTACTAGGTTGGAGAAGGGCCAGTTGGAATTAAGGCTTCTCTCTCTTCTAGTCAAGTCTTCTGAGCCCGCCCTTCCAGGCTCGTCATGTTGCCCTCTTGGTGGGCTGTTTATGGATTTACTGAATTTAGATATCACCACATCTTATTCTTGATGGTTAACCTTGCTTTCCTACATCACCATGGGGTTTTATTTTCGTGTTGTATTAAGACGTGATTTCTTAACTCTAGTTTGTTGAATAATTGGAGGTAGCTGATTTTGCCCAGGATTCTGAGCTATTACCATGGTTTACAAAAAACAGTAGGTGGGTTCACACAGCATCCTAAATCATGGCTCAATGTGGTGTATGAACTTAGAAGCTGCTGTGTATCAGTATGGATCATGGATCCTGTACTGAGTGAATTCGGTGTTGTCAAATTAGCCATTTCTCAACTTGTGCTAGCTGTGTTTATTGAACTCCTCCTCATTCTTAACTGGTCCTACTAGGTAGGACAATGAGGATTATAGCCAGCAAATATGGAGGATAATTAGATTGAGATAAGACTAACTTTTCCAGAAGTGTCTTAAGCAGTCTTACCTGGAAAAACCAGGAATTTTGTTGGCACCATTTTTCACACAAAATGCGCGGTGATACTGAATTTTCTGTCTTAATCAGTGCCTGAGGTTATCCAGATGTGTTAGAATGCCAACTTGCAGAATCAGATAGAGTTTTGGAGGACTTTGGGTTGGAGAACTAGGATTTCTCTCTTTTTAGAAAGATTTTTCTTCTTTTCACTTTAATTAATAAGCTTGGGTTTAGCAGTAATCTTCAGCCTTGGTAGATTTAGAACTAATTCACCATGAGCTTTGGCCTTCATGAGAGGAGCCCACTTAAACATTTTTTCTTATTTATTTAAATGCATACAACTATTGTCATGTTATTTTTGTTCTTATTTTCCCTTCTCATTCTCTTGTCTGATTCTTTTTTTTAAAAAAAATAGAATTACACACCTAAAATATTGTAGCTCTGCTGGTTTTGTGTAAGCCCTGTTATAACTTATAATAACCCCTATTCTGAAGATTATGACAACTAATAATCTCACAACAATTTTTCCACTTTTGCCTGTTGCCGTTTTCTATCACAATAACATTGAAACTTTCAGTTTTTGCAAATAGTTTCATGATTTAGCATTTCTTTCTGACCCTTAAAATAATTGTAATGCATCTCTTCAGCAGCCAAAAATATTATAGTTGAGGGCAATTCAGGTCATAGTAGTATGCAGCATTTTTTCAAGTTCAACCTCTGAAATAAGCATGCTGCAGCTTATTTAGATGAAAGGAAAAAGCTAGATAGATAGGGTAAAGGAAGTTGGCAAAGTTTTTCATCTTTTCTGTTTTGCAGCATTCTTCCCTTTTGCCTGACTTGTTACTACTTGTTCTGTTGCCTTACCTAAACTATCAGACATGGAGGGTGGTACCCAGGAAGAGATGATGTACTGTATAGATAATTACAGAGTATTGCAGGAGTAGGTAGAAATTGTTCACTCTTCTTTGTTTCCGTGGGTTACAGCAGGAGTTGTAAATGAGCACCATCTCTTTGCAGATTTAGTGAAATAGAAAATTTGCATAATCAAAAGCACGCAATTTTTTGTTCTGTGTTCTTTGTCCCTTTGAAAAACAATATTTGTCCTAGCAAAGACTTCAGCTATCATTTTCCTTAGTTAAATTTAGCAAACAGTTAATGGTGATAATGAACTGGATATGTGAAAGCATGGAATGCTGTGTGTGTGTATGATTATGAATGAATGTATTTGCTGGATCAGGCCAAAGATCCATCTGCTCCTTGCATTCCAAAACTCAGAAACAGGACTTGAAAATAATAGGCTTTCTTCTGTTTGGCCTTACCAATCTTACTGCTAGGAAGATGCTACCTTGCTATATCTGTAGGTTGATAGCTGTTATATGCTCCTGGAGTTTACAGTGTTATATAAAGAAATAAGAAATACTTCCTTAAGAACTTAACTTGTTGCTTTGGATTTTATGATCTTGAATAATTTGCAAACATTGTAAAATTCAGTAGTTCATGGTTATCCTTAAATCCAGATCAATTACAAGTGTCTTACATTGCTGATTCTCTTACAAATCCTTGTAAATTCCTCTTTCATTATCTTCATTTTTGATTTTCTGAAATGAAATAAAATATTTGTGAGATAAGATTTGCCTTTGCAAGGGGCTGCTTATGCTTCTTGGTTGGGTTCTTTGCTCTGTAGAATCAGGTTAGTTTCTTTACCACCTTCCATTATTAAACCGTATATTTGTTTTCTGTTGACTCCCTTGAGTCAAGGTCAAACTTCTGTGGACAAGTCTAGTTTATAGCACTGGGATTTATATATATATCTATGCTTAATGTATACAGGGGTTTCAAATTCCTTTGTTCTATTCGCAATAAGTAACAATTTGATTTTTTCATGCACGTTTATAGAATATCTGTTGTATTTCAGAGCTTGTATATCTTTGGGATCCAAATCCCGGACTATTGGAAATGCAGCAAAAAGCCAGGTAAACATTTATAGTTATTTCAGTGAAAGTTACCATTTTACTCAGAAGCAGTTCTTAAATTTTCATTGGAATATTCTATTCATTCCAAAAAATCTTTCTTAATCATAAGCACTGATAGCATTACTACTAATGGACACTATGAACTTAGGTATTTGTGTCTTGCATAAAACAAAACAAAATCTTTCTTACAATGGTAAGGAATTAGAAATGCTTAATAAGAATGGAGTATATCAGTCTTTACTACTGATAAATTAATAAAAGTATTGGAAAACTGTAAGATGAAAGGAGATTTAACATGAACATGCAGAATTAATATCTTAATATTATTTTGACAGATAATCACAAATATTAAGAATACATTACATGGATTTAAAAAGCTGCATGGGAGAGCATTTGATGATCCTTTTATAAAGGCTGAGAGACACAAACTGCCATATGAACTTCAGAAATTACCTAATGGGAGTGTAGGTGTGAAGGTGAGCGTGGTGCTTTCTGTTATGATACCTGCTGTCAGGATATGCAAAACAGAAATGTTAAGATCTCTTTCTAATTTACCTCACTAGAGATTGCTAATGGGATAAATAATAAAACAAATGCAACATCTCTGCCAACATGAGTGCCTACTATAGATTCTAGTTTGTTTATTAATTTATTTGGAGTTTTTTTAATACTCTAGGTACGCTATTTGGATGAAGAGAGATTATTTGCTATTGAACAAGTTACTGGAATGCTGTTGGTTAAGCTTAAGGAGACATCAGAAAGTGCACTTAAAAAGCCTGTAGCAGATTGTGTCATTTCAGTAAGTTTTCATAATGATATAGATACTTAGAAAGTAGTAATGTTATACTTCATGGAATGATTAGAATGTAATATATTCCTGAAAAGACAGCACTATAAGCTAATAAAGTTTTGTTTTCTAGAATATTCTTGTCTGTTTTCTCAGTTACTGATAATGCTTGCAGAAATGTGTAAACAGTAGATAGTTGTATATATGGTAGACACTCAATAAGCTGAAGTCTGCCCAATTTCAGAGATACAGGTTTAGGATGTTCATGACAAATGCTTAAGAAATGTGCTAAAAATTGGTTGCTTTGGGGCAAAATGGGTGGTTATGGGGAACAATTAGCATTGCCCCTCCCACTCATTGTTTTGTAGCTAGTATTTCAGGAAACTCATACGTATTGTTGATAGCATTATTTTGCAAGAAACTTACATAATTACCAAATAATACATCAAGTTTTATGCCTAAGTTGCTTAATTAGATATCAGCTTACATTTGTTGCAGGTAGAGGTTCCTCAAAACATTATGTCTAAAGGGCTATTCATGAACCATTTCCTTGAGATTAAAATGTAGACTGTTATTCAGCTCCCCTTCTCTTCCCATTGTGGCATTTTGTGGAGAAGCAAAAGCTGAAAATAGGAAACATGTACAGGCAGGATATATGTCTTTCTGCAGCACTGAGATCTAATTTGGTTCAGGACCTCATAGACCCATAGTATTAATCCAAACCAATCTAGTGCAAACATTTGTAATCTAATACATTTTAATTAGCCTATTAATACTGAAACATTGGATTAATTGGAATAAATATATTTAAATTGCATACTTCAGGATTACAATTAAGTTTTTGTAATAGGACATAAGCCATATATCTTGTAGAAACTTGTTAGGAAGATGAATATGGTGAAATTAATTTAATAGAATAACATTTTTCTATAGATCCCAAGTTTTTTTACTGATGCTGAGAGAAGGTCTGTGATAGCAGCAGTGCAAGTGGCAGGTTTAAATTGCTTGAGACTAATGAACGAAACTACAGCAGGTAAATTTGTTTTAATTGTTATATAGCAGTTTTGGTTTTTAATCAAATTCAAATCAGAGTCAAAGTAGACAACACAACCACCTAGCAAGATTATATGGTATACAGCTAAATACTGGGGTACCTTATTCACAAGTAAACTGTCCTCCAGTATAGGTGGTTTCTACTAAAATACATATTGTAAATTCTTGGAGCAACATTAATGTATATCTGCTTGGAAATCTACTCAAAATAATAAGTTCAATAGGACTAATACCACAATAAATATTTCTAGGATAGCAGTTGATAAATTTATATAATGCTTTGGATTCCAATCTTGAAAGTTGGTTCTAATTATTTTATGTAATTGGAGACATTAATAGTGTACCACAAATCATTTGGCTTACATATACACACTGTTATTTGCTCAACATTTTTATAAAGAAAGACTGCAACAGAGAAAGTTTTTAAAGTTATTTTAAAATGTTTCAGTGATTAGTGACAATGTTACCACAGAGGAGTTCCCTTCAAAAACAACATTATATACATTTTTAAAAATAATGATTTTACTCCTATGTTTTAAGTTGTATGACCAGGGCAAATTCTTCAAATTATGCCAATTTGTTTTTTAATTGCAAGTAATTTCAATGTGTTGTAATGAATATTGTTAGAACATATGTAAGAGAAATGAACATTCTGGAATAGCTTATAATTTGGCAATGTTAACAGAAAAAATAAATGGCATTTTGAACATTTTGAATCAGCCCTTACGTGTGAAAGTTCCTACAAACTGTGTTAATAGAATATTGTATCTGATTGTAATTTAGCAAATATGCTGTCCATATATAAGGAATCAGGCAATTTGAATCTGAAGGTTGGAGAAAGTTGATAAAAATAGGAGTCTTCCTCAGTACCATCATTTTCATTGCACAAACCCTGATACACAATTTGAAGGCAACATACAGTTGTTTTCTGTTGACTTGACAATGCTGAGAACATGTAGTGGAAGTACTATGAGCCATCACCATCTTATGGCAACAAAAAACTCTCACACACATTCCATGCTAAATGGAAGTAAATAAACTATCTGCAAACTCTCTACATGTATATCCTTACTTCATGTTGCATTTATTTGCCTGGCTTGTGGGGAGGGAGGACTGGCATAAAAATCATTAAACCATTTTCTTTAAAAAGACATGGTTATATCAAAGTATATTTTAAAATGGTAAAACAGTATTGTTTTCCTAAAACTGATAGATTTCATTTAGAAAATATTTAGATACACAGTATTAAATTACAAAGATATGCAAAACTCTGTTCCATCATGGAATGTTTCAGTCTTCCCCATTCCATTTTTCTCCAAGTATATGAAATGACAGTAATTCTCCAATTGGTTCATCATGTTCCAAAGTAAACTAGTCAATACATAGTTTTGCACATAACTAGTTACAATGCAACAGATATTTTGACGCTAATTGGTTCTGATGTTAGAAAAGTAGATTGCATTGAAGAACCTGGAAAAAATGAATGCTTTCATAATCTCCCTTGGCTTTTCATAATTGTATAAGTTATTTTTAAAACTTTTCTATTCCATATAATTTATTCTTTAAATTCTTGCAGTTGCTTTAGCCTATGGAATTTATAAACAAGATCTACCAAACCTAGAGGAGAGACCAAGAAATGTGGTTTTTGTGGACATGGGACACTCTGCATACCAGATTTCTGTTTGTGCTTTTAACAAAGGAAAATTGAAGGTAAATTGTTAAAGCAACATATAATTTAGAAAAATAAAACAGGATAAAGAATCAGCTCAATCCCAAAATAAATAATATGAGCAATAGCCTATCAGGAAAAAAGCCTGTAATTTGTTGCCTCATAGCTATGCTTGGAACTTTTTCTGATTTTTGCCATTAAAAAAATGATGATGATAATGGGGTGCCAGTACAGTTACACAGTAGATTCTTCTTGCACGGGCACTGCCTTAGACTTCTATATGAATTATCTAACCACAAGCATTTTTTTTCTATCTTGCTACATTCTATCTTGTTTGTTACATTCCTTATCATTGTGCTTAACTTCATAGGTACTTGCTACTACGTTTGATCCCTTTTTGGGTGGTAGAAACTTTGATGATGCTTTGGTAGATTACTTCTGCGAAGAGTTCAGGATCAAGTATAAACTTAATGTTAAGGACAATGCTCGAGCATTGCTGCGATTATATCAGGAGTGTGAAAAACTGAAGAAGCTGATGAGTGCAAATGCTTCTGATCTTCCATTAAATATAGAATGCTTTATGAATGACATTGATGTCTCTAGCAAAATGAACAGGTATCATATTCAGTTGTATAAAGTGTAAATTATGAGATAACCATATATGCCCAAAATATTTAATATACTTTTCTCCTTAAAATAGGGCTCAGTTTGAACAATTGTGTGCATCTCTTCTGGCCAGAGTAGAACCTCCTCTGAGAGCAGTGATGGAACAAGCTAGTAAGTAAAAGCTGCAACAGCTTATTTTGGATGCTTATATTTAATAACTAGGCTTCTGCTTGCTACTCTAGGCCATGCCTATCACATTGAATATTCTTTAAGTCTTTAATATCTCTGGAATTTGAAAAAATAATATTTTGGTATTAGTGTTCTTAAAAGTTGGATATGAGTGGTTCTGTGAAGTACAAAAAAGATGCTAAGAAGGTAAGGGAAGAAAATTATGCCTAGATACGAATAATAGAAAAATGGCATCTACTATAATAGGAAAGAACACAAACAAGGTAGGAAAAGCATGCAAAGTATGGCTTCTAGATTTCTTTTTATCCCCTAATTTTGCTCTGTGTCATGTGACAAGGAGGAAGGGAAGGTTCTTAGACTGTAGCAGTTGGCAATATGCTGAGCTGCTGTCCAACTGCCTCTTCAGTAAGGATGCATTTGGGGACAGTTTGTGGATTTTTTTTCTTTTGTAGTCCCTGGTCTGAACTGGCCTGTTTTCAAATTTGATCTTTCTTTTGTTCACTTCTTTACCACACCAAATTTAATCCTGTTACATTTAGTTTTTAGACAATTATGCTGATGGACAAGCAGATGGACTGAGTTCTAACCCATTTACATAATTTTGTTCCAATATTCCATTGGTTTGGGAAGAATAAAAAGGAGTAGAAAGTGTGCTGGAAGGAAAATTAGATAGATGAATGGAAAAACAGAGCTAGACAGTAGGCATATGGATTCATATCTACCCTGAATAAGCAACCAAAATCATGAGGCACAAGAAAAGGGTCTTAGGATTAAATAACAGGTTCTTGGGATTCATACACTTGGTAGATATCAGGAAGGTATAATCAAGTAGCAGTGCAAAATGTACAGTAGAAGATGACCTTATAATGGATGAAAACAACCAAAACTAAGAAAGAAAGAAAAGAAAAAAACCCTCTACCTTATATTTTATACTTATCAATAGTTGCTGGTTTACTATAGTTCATTCACTGAATGAGACTTCTCTCTAACTGTATTGGGCCATCACTTTGAAATATTGTACCATGCACCAGTAGAGCACGGTGCTTTGAACTGAATTTCTGATTGTATTGTGCAAGTGCAGTGTAGAACACTTACATATCCAGCCTCCAGATGGCCACAAAGCTCATCTGAGATACTGATAATTCTTCTTTTGACTGATAATGGATTAACTGTAGAGTATCTGGATGAACGCAAGCATTTTATCATAAATCTTTCTTTCTTTTTTTTCTATTCCAATGGCCAACCATAATAAAAGTGAAAATAGAGCAAAACAATTGAAGCCTGCATCAAAATGTTGCAGTATGAAATGTTTGCTCTTCAGGATTCTAGTTCCATTATAGTCTTCATCTTGCTGAAACAGTCACTGAGTATATTTTACTTCTGTTGAACTGTTTTTGAGGCCCCTTCCTATGGTTGTTTTATTTTTGTTAAGATATTTCCATTTCTACAGAAGTTGGGGTTCCCATAAGCCTTCTTAGACTTTTCTTTTATTGGAATATCAGTTTTGATTTCAGGAACATGAACATTTGTAACCTGAACATCAGAAATCCCAAGAACTTGGGGTCTGTGGCTGAAAAACAAAAGTTAGTATCAGAGAGAAGAGAATTCAATATACCTGCTTACCTTCCTTTTGGTTGGTGCTTTTCTTTAGACAGCAAAGGCAGGTGTCTAACCATTTTATTTTTTGTTTTTGTTTTTATGAAATTGAAGAGAAAGAGGCAAATGGCCTTTTGCCAGCTGCTACTCCTCACTGTCAAGTACTGTACACTATACCATATTTATTTTTGTTATTTATTTATTTAAGTTATTTATTCACTTCTGCTAGGCTTTGGGACCCAGCAGATAGCTTCCTATGTTATATGTATATTAACTTCTCATTGTATTTGTTTTGGCATGCTTATTTAATACTTAGATTTAGAGCTCTATTACCTGTAAGAGTGGAAAGTATGTTTTTTGAAATATAGAATTTCCACAAGTATTCAGAAAGGAAGGGTAGGTTTTCATGTTAACAGAAGAGACATACTAATGTGTAGTAGAGAAACTTCTTCCATCCTTGCAGTCTCTCTACCAAGTACATCCATACTGTCTAAAACTAACTATATTTTTCATCTATAAAAACAAATTATCTCCTGTTTGTCTCCTAGAACTACAGTGTGAAGATATATACAGTATAGAAATAGTAGGTGGAGCAACTCGTATCCCAGCTGTGAAGGAGCAGATTTGCAAATTTTTCTGTAAAGATATAAGTACCACACTAAATGCAGATGAAGCTGTTGCAAGGGGTTGTGCATTACAGGTGTGTTAATTGTTTTCAGTATTACTGCTTAAATTTCTTGGTCTTGTAAATTTATCAAAAGAAGCATGCTATAATTACATTAATCTTCACATTAAGGCCTTCAAGGTAACACAGCTACTTTACTTAACCAATTTAACTGAAATTAAACCATATGTATTTTTAATTATTATTTTGACTAATCCTGAGTCCCTTCTCTGAAACAGCTGAGCTCTGTTTGTGAACAATGTCACATCTCTTGTATGATTTTTCTGATCAGGGGAAAAAACTTACTAGTCTTCTCCAAGTGCATTGCATTTTGCTACAACAAATTTTCTTAGGCTTCATAATTGTGAAATTAAAATGTAGTTGACTAGTACCTCATAAGCAACATAAAATAAATGTGTACCAGTCACATGTCTGAGTGATACTCCATTTCTTTTCTAGTGTGCAATTCTGTCCCCAGCATTTAAAGTCCGTGAATTTTCCATCACAGATGTTGTTCCTTACTCAATTACTCTGAGGTGGCAATCATCTTATGAGGAAGGAACAGGGTAAGAGTTTTGAGATAAAAAAATATGAAAGAACTAAGTAGATAGTGTATCTATAAATACAAGGTAGGTTAGATTTGCCATTTGTTGTATGGTTAACTTTGTATAGGTAATTATTTGGATGAATTATAAACAAGTCCACTGATTTCACCATGAAAAAACTATTACATAATTTCTTGATCTTATAAAGAAACAGAATTCTTTATACGTTTCTATTTTCCCTGGAAGAGCAGAGTCCCACAATCCTTTTGCTATTCACATTGTGATAAGCATTCTTCTCTCTTCCCTTCTAGTGACCCCTTCCAAAATTCATTTGGGAAAAGACAAGGCTTTCTCATCCCATGTTTCCTGCAAGTGTGAAATTCATGCTCATTGTGGGATAAGACAGCAATACAACTACAGTGTGCATTGGGGGCTAGAATATTTTTTGAAGCTTAATTTAAAAAGCTTTTTTGAAGCTTTTGAAGCTATATGCTTGTTCTTCTCAGTTCTCAGAAAGGGATACCTTCTTGTTTCTGATTTTGTGCTGGACTTGAGAGTCAACTCAGTGTTAATTGTAATTCAGAAAAATGAGTTTCTTCCCCCAAGGCACTTTTTCACATTACTGATTTTAAGGTCATGAAAGTACAGTGAATTGTTTATTTTGTAAAAGCCTTTGCTTCCAGAAAGAGAAACTTCCAGTACATTTTATCTTGTGCTCCAAAATACCATAGCCAGTCTTGCATACTATGCATGTTGGGAAAACAGATTGCTCTTCTGTCTCAAGCAACCGTATACCTTGGGCTAATCCTGCTGATTGCACCTTTCCCTCTCCCACTCACCTTTCCCTTCTCACCACCCAGGTAGTGAGGACAATAACTACACTACTCTTTCATCAGTACCTCTTCTTTCTCCCTGAGTACTCTAGAAATGCAAGAGAAATAAGGGAATATATTGGGCTTATCCTCATGTCTTACTAACTGTGCCATGAAGATACTTCGCTAAGCATTTTTAGAGAACATATCTTCACGACATTGCCTTCAGTTAATCCCCAACACACTGCAGAAGCAACTTAAAGTTAGATTTGAATTTAAAGTAGGGTTTCCATCATCTGGCACAAGTCTGGCCATACAATCTGTGATACCTCATTGGTGATATTACTGATGACTGGGATCTGCGAAGCTCCTATTGGCTGTTGTAGTCATGTTGTCTGCATTGCTGAGCCCTGCCCTTGGTGGCCATTTTGGGTTGGGCTGCTGGAGAAGTCAAAGACATGGCTTCTGCAGTTGCATCTGTTCTTATAAGACATGATTAAGTATTACCTAGCTTCCTTACATACCCACACTTAATGATCTTTTGACAGAGCACTTGACCTGCCTTTAAGAAAAAGGACTGGTGCTCCTATCAGTCTAAATGAGCAACAAAGGTCATATGCTGCCATCTGTTTGTTGCAGAGTCTATTCACAAAAATCTGTGCACTGTAGATTTTCTGCTGCTTTTCCTGATGTGTGGCCATACTTTTTTTTTTCCTTGAAGGATGGGTGCCATTTTGCCTATTCCAGTACTATTTTGCATGCTTCACAGGCTGATTCCTGCCATGAGCACTTGCTGCTAGAATTGCATTTTCCTTTTGGTACTGAGTGGTAGGTCAGCAGTGTGGAAAATGTCTACACCAGCAACCTGTCATTTGGTCAGCTATAGCCTCTGTCATATGTACCAGCTTACAGTTGTCCAAGCCTGCTGTATCATACAATAAGGACAACGGTAGTTGTTTTTCTTGCCAGCGGGTGATACTGGCAAAATGGAAGAATTCCGAACTAGGGGAATTCTCCAATCAGTATTGTTAAATTATCATTATTCTTAAATTATCCCACATTAAAACTGTAAGGATTGCACTAATCACTGAACTCATCACTAAGGCAGAGCTATGTCATTGGTGCAATGCATATTATGCCACTATACTTTTGTGCCAGCTCAAGGACTGGAGGAATGCACAATAATATGCCCATGAAGGAGATAGCACATTACAGTAAAAATAGTAAAAATGACTCCTACACTCTGGGTTTGTGTGTGTGTGTGTGTGTGTGTGCGCACTGCTTGTTCTTAGTTGCAAGAACTTGTAAGTTATTCTGCATTGTCTATGAAGGTGGAGGTCATCTACATTTAATTTTTAAATGAGCTCCTCTTATCTTCCCTATAGACTGAAGTGCTTGTCTCAGTCAAGTTATGCTTATCCTAGCTTGTTATCTTTAAAGAGGTTGCAATTATAAAGTTAGAGTTCTTCAGCATGCTGTATGTTTATGTAGGAGCATTTTTTCCCCAAATGAATGTTTCACTAAATTAAAATTAAATGAATGTTCTGCAATGGTGACTTCCTCTCAAAATGTTTTTGTGAAAATGTCTAAGACTGGTTTATTATGAACGATTGACTATACACATTTGTAATATGGAAGTAATACATGGTTTTAAGTTTTGGCCTCTAATTCTCTGGCCTCAGGTAATTATTTAATATCACAGGATATATTGTGACTCCTTATCCTTCTCATTATTTGTAGTTTAATTATCAGTTCTTTTGCGTGTTAATTATAAGCATTCTTGTTTTCTATAGTGAATGTGAAGTCTTCAGCAAAAATCATGCTACTCCATTCTCAAAAGTTATTACCTTCCATAAAAAAGAGCCTTTTGAACTGGAAGCATTTTATACACATCCTCATGATGTTCCTTATCCTGATACAAGAATAGGTAAATTTTTTTGTTACTTGCTGAGCATGACAATATGCCTTTTTTAAAATTTGTTTCAAATAATGTGAATATTCATCTTATAGATTTAGGAAATAACTTTGTGCTAATCACTGATTCCTTGTTTTCTGTGGACAGAGCTTTTAGTTTTCTCTTGTCCTTGAATACATTTTGTATTTTTCTGCTTGACTTTAAGACATACTTCTCTATTTGACTTCTTTTACAAAGCTTTTGGTCATCATGGTAGATGGTTTTTCATTTCTCTGTTCCTCACTTTACTAGCAATGATACCACTTTATTTTGGGGGCAGTTGGGCTTTTCTCTGTATCTGTTTCACTTTCCTAGCACATATCTTTAGTTATATAGGTGGTCCTCTGTAGACCTCTTGTTCAGCGACCAAAGTTGTGACAGCGTTGAATGAGTGGTAGTTACGACTGGTCCTCTAAGTTCTGGCTGGTGCAGCACACCTACGGTCATGGATCACGATCCAGGGGCTCGCAACTGGGTTTTCAAAAATGGCAGTGTCCTGCAGTCAAGTGATCACAATTCGTGACCTTCCCTGGCAGCTTCCCACAAGCAAAGTCAATGGGGAAGCCAGCAGGAAGTTGGAAGTTGTGATCATGCGCAGTCCTCATTTAACAATGGTAACCAGGGACTGCCATTGCCAAGCAGCACATTCACGTAATGTCACACTTTACAATTGTATTGCATAGCTGTGGGAATTCTGGTTCTGATTACCGTCGCTAACTGACAACTACCTGTATTCTCTTTTACTTAGTAGTTGATGATTACAGGTATACAAAATATTTTGGATTCAAAACATCCTGCTTGGAGTTCAGAACAGCTGTTGTGCCCTTACTGAAACAGTTCAACTAAAGAGCCCTGTTTTGAGCTCTTAATGTCTGTTTCAGTCTGTCCTGTCTCAAGTCACGCACTCAAACACATCGAAAGGTTTACAAACTTTACTAGGAAGTTTTCAAGCAAATAAACAAGCAGCAAAGAAAATGTGTGTGCAAACATGAACACACACACACACACAGGAGACATCAAGTCCCCCAGAAGTCCAGCAAGCTTGCCTTGAGAGAGAGTCCAGACCTAAAACAGCAGGCACAAGATTGGTCAGGCAAAGTCCAAGGGTCCAAATGTAGCAGTGTCGTCAACCAGTCCAGGTCCAGAATCACAGTCACAAGATTTCAAATTGAAAGGCAAGGCACATGGAGTCTAGGTCAACGAACGGTTGTCTCCAATGGAGAGGCTTGAGCTTGTTGCTCTTCTTAAATAGAAGCAACCCCAGCGTTGCTCATTTGGAAGTGTGAGGTTCCTTTCTGATGAGCCTTGCAGAGCACCTTTGTTCTGCTCTCCTCTCTGCATGGCAACCCCTTGCACTGGGAGGAGGTGGCAGCTCACATTCCTCATCTTACGAGACTAGCGGCAGCTGTGTCCTCTGGTTGCCAGGTGGCGCAGCTACCTCTGCCTGCAATTCCTCAGGTAGCAGTTCATCCAGCAAGTCAGGAACTGACTGTTCATTGTTGGTTTCCTCATCAGATTCTGTTCTGGCCATGACGCTGTCTCAAAAAGGGATGTTTTAAGCTCAGAACACTTAGGCTATGGCTGGAGCATTTCCAAGAAGATTGAAACAGCCAGTGTTGACGCCTGGCAACTGCCTGGACAAGTTTTTGCAAGTCTTGCAATTCTTGGCAAGATTTTGGAATTGGTTTGTCATTGCCTTCTTCCTAGGGTTGAGAGAGAGTCACTGGCCCGAGGTCACTCAGGTGGCTTTGTGCCTGAGGCAGGACTAGAACTCCAAGTCTCCCAATGTGTAGCCTGGTACCATAACCACTACACCAAACCAGCTCTTGCAAAACATTTTAGATTTTAATTATTTTTACATCACTCATTTGGATGACCTTGACTAAATCCAGAAGCTAGACAGGGTCAGGCCTAGTTAATTCTTGGATTGGAGACCACCAAGGAATTTCAGAGCTATATGCTAGACTGGCAGGTTGGAAAAGCATCCTGGAAAAAAACAGTAGCAAACCACATCTGATTTGTTGACAAAACACCTACATCAGCATATTCACAAACTCATCAAAGGAGTTCTAACCATTGATTATCCCAATCTGAGATGGAGATAAATTGAGAGTATTTTTCCTGATATTTCTGTGATTGCTTACCCTTTTGTTACACAATTATAGTGTTATCTTGATTTTATTTTAAAGCATAGCTTTCCTATTATATGATATACTTGTGCAAGAAATAAAATGCATTCTGAAACTAATGTGTGGTTGCTAGCTACAAGTTATAGTACCAGACAGTTCCTCATTGATCTCTACAGATCCCCAAAATGGTTTTTATGCAGGGCAGTTCCTGGGATCTTTGGTCTGCTAGGAGCTGAGCAGGAGGATGGTAGTCATTTCTCATTGCCCCAATGCTCAGAGTTGGTCTAGTGACAAAAAGTAGTTCATATTACCCAGATATTGCTGGGTGGGGAAGAACTATAGTTTCAGATAATTAGCTTATTGTATAACTGCTATGGCACAGATCTGTTCAATAAGTTCTAATTAATCAAATAAAGGGACCTTTGAGCTTATCTCCTGATGACTACATATATAGAACCATGGAAATGATTTACAAGTGTTTTTATAATCCTAGTAGGCTGCTGTCAATATTGAACAAATAAATTAGGTCACTTTATTTCAGCCAGTGACAAGTTTATAAATATACATATGCAAATGTAAGTAAATATCAGACATCTGATGGAACCACTTGGATCCCAGAGGACACTTGGGGAATTTTCTGAGGCCCCCTGGAATGAGAGGCTGGCTGAAGCTTTGGATAGAATTACACCTGAGCTGTTTCTCCCTACTGACTGATCCAAGGAAGCTCCTCAGTATATTGAGGAGTTCCAGAGATGAAATGTCAGAAGAGATGCCTAGAGGACCACTAATGGAAAATAAAAAATTACTCAGATTAGACATGAATTGTAGTACATGTTCACCATGGTGATAAGAGTGGCAAAATAGCAATACTTCTTTGTTCTTACTGCATCCACAGATTGCCACCCAGTAACCCTGTTTAAGGTGACCCAGACCCTACTTGGAAAAGATGGGTTGGAAGAACTGTTACAGGGTTGCAGTGATGAGTATTCTAGGCATCTAGAGGATGAAATTGCTTAGATCCATTCAGAGTTGGATGCCAGCTGGGCTATTCCTGTAGAGGTGATTCAGTTAAGTCTTGTGATGTTACCTGGGATGAGTTGAGCTGGACAGGGATCTGACTGGCATCAGCATGGCCATCTGTAATCTGGATCCCTGTCCTTCCTTGTTGGTGAGAATCCTCAGAGATGTAACAAGTGACTGGGTTGGGGGTTGGTGAATGGGTCAGGGAAAGATGCTGCCTGCTTTAAAAGAGTCAATGGTATCTCTCCTCTTCAAGAAACCACTGCTGAACCCAACAATGCTGGGGAAATGTTTACATGTCCCTGACCTCTCCTTTCTGGAGAAGGTTATAGAGAGATAATAGGATACAGTTGCATAGAACCCTGGAGGAAACTGATTATCTGTACTCTTTTCAATTAGGCTTTAGAGCTGGGCTCAGTACTGAGACTGTTGTGTTTATTGATTACCTTTGGTGAGACTGGGATAAGAGGAATATGACCTCCTTGACTTCTTGGTAACTTCTGATTGTTGTTCAGTCGTTAAGTCGTGTCCGACTCTTCGTGACCCCATGAACCATATTGCG